TGTTGACAAATGTGCTTCTTACAAAACTTTGTGGATTCAAGCTAGAATGGAATCCTTTATTCCCTCTCGACGATTCCAGGTCAAGCCTCACTCTTCTCCATGGTTTTCCTCACATTGTGCTGCTGCAATTGCCAATCAAAACCATTACTTCCATATCTATCAGCAAAACAATTCTCCAGAAAACAGACATCTGTTTATTACTTCAAGGAACCATTGTAAAAAGGTTTTGTCTAACGCCAAAGCCCGCTATTCTCAGGTCATGAAATCTCGTATTTCATCACAAAAATTAGGCTCTCGTGACTTCTGGAGAATCTTTATTAGTATCAATAATAAGGGCAAGTCTGTAATTCCATCTCTTTTTTACGGTTCAGACTTTGTCACCTCACCTAAAGACAAAGCTGTATTGTTTGCCAAGAACTTTTCATCAATATCAACTCTTGATTCCACTAGTTAGGTTCTACCTGATATAGCTGTCAAACAGGTTGATCCATTGCTCGACATCCATTTCACTCCAGCTTCTGTATCTAAAATGATTTCCGCTTAGACTCTTTTACAGCTTGCGGCCCGGACAACATACCTGTTATAGTCTTGCAGAAGTGTTCTCCGGAGCTGTCGTCTATCCTTTCAAAACTATTTAACAAGTGCTTATCAGAGTCTTGTTTTCCAGCCTGCTGGAAAGTAGCATCTCTTATCCCTATTTTTAAAAATTCTGGAGAGCGATCCGATTCGTTTAACTACCATTCCATTAGTTTTCTTCCTATCATAAGCAAGGTTTTTGAATCTTTAATTAACAAACACTTAATCTCTCATCTCGAATCTCATAACCTACTTTCTGATCATCAATATGGATTTTGATCTTCTCGTTCTACGGCTGATTTGCTGTCAGTAATAACCGATAGGTTTTATCGTGCATTAGATAAAGATGGAGAGGTTAAGGCTATTGCTTTTGACATTTCTAAAGCGTTTGATAAAGTTTGGCATGCTGGTCTTCTCCATAAGCTTTCTTCTTACGGTGTATCTGGAAACATCTTTAAGATTATTGAATCCTTCCTTTCCAATCATAGTATAAAAGTTGTCCTTGATGGACAGCACTCTTCTTCTTATTCTGTAACCTCAGGGGTTCCCCAAGGTTCAATCCTTGGCCCTATACTCTTTTTAATTTACATTAACAATGTTACAGATGTTCTCACATCTAAGGTGGCATTGTTCGCTGATGATACTACCATTTATTCTTGTCACAATAAAAAGCCAACTCCCTCTGGTTGCTTGCAGGGGGCATCTGAGCTTGAAAAGGATCTCACTTCTGTTACAGCATGGGGCACACAGTGGCCTTCTCTTTATGGAGTTTGACACTTTCTTACTCTGGATTCTATTCTCTATCTCTATAAATCTCAAATTTGGCCTTGTATGGAATACTGTTGCCATATCTGGGGTGGATTTTCTAATGATGCCCTTTCTCTTTTAGACAAGGTGCAAAAACGCATTGTAAACATAGTTGGACCTGCTCTTGCAGCCAAACTTCAACCTCTGTCACATCGTTGTAATGTTACTTCTCTTTCTCTTTTCTACAAATACTATAATAGGCACTGCTCGAAAAAGCTAGCATCTCTTGTGCCATCTACTAAAATTCATTCTCATGTTACTCGTCATTCAATTAAGTCTCATCCTTTTTCTGTTACTGTTCCTAAGTGCTCCAAAAACTTTTATTCGTCTATATTTTTTCCTCGAACATCAGTTCTTTGGAATTCGCTTCCTTTATCATGCTTTCCTGATTCATATAATTTGCAATCTTTTAAGTTGTCTGTCAATCGTTATCTTGCTCTCCAATCTTCATCTTTTCTCTTCCAGTAATTTCCAACACTAATTAGTGGTTGCTTGCAGCCTTGTTGGAAGTGAAGATTAAAAAAAAAAATAAAAAAAAAATTAAGAAGCAGGATTTAACCCCTCACGTTGTACTTAGTGGCCAAAGTGGTTAGCAGCAAGCTAACCACTTCAACCACTAAAACACACTAAACTGCCAAGCTTTAACACTATTTAAGAATAATAAATAAATGCTTTTTGTCCAAATTAAGCAGATTTTGCTGCTATGCAATTTTTAAGTAAAAGTAAAACTTTATAAAAGTAAAAATATCTATTGAACTTTAAAAATATTTTATTTTAAATTATCAAATTGGATTTAAAAAAAAAAAAAAATGGGAAGAGCAAGGATTTGAACCACAGCATTTCACTTCAGAATGCTGCAGCTAACAACATTGCCACTAAGGTGAATTGTTCTATTAATAAACACTATTTGTACTATTTAATAAACAAAAGACTTTTTAAAATAGAAAATAAATGCTATAAATCAAAATTAAAAAAATGTTGTTGCAATTCAATTTTAAAGTAAAAGTATGATTGTAAAACTTGATGAATTAATTTAACATTAAATAATTTGAAGTTTACATAAGTTAGACATAGTGATGCAAATGCAATCACCAAAGGTGATCAAATGCATCACCTTTGTTGATACAAAAATTGATGTAACTCTTTCTTACCATTAACTCGGGTGTAGTGGCTGCCATGACTTCTGTGTCAAACACTCACAAATGAGTAACGACAACAGCACATTAAATTCAGTATTAAAATATTATAGGATTTAATAACAAGTTTTGTTATATTTCATTTACAAATTTAAAAATCAACTTTTTATTAATACTTTTTTTCTTTTTTTATTTTCTTTTTTCTTTTTCTCCTTTTTTAAATATTTCTTATAATAAAAGTTATACCATTATTATCTTAAGATAATAGGATTATCTTTTATGTTTAACTGTATATGCATTACAAACATCTCTACTTTTTATTATTATTATCTTTTAAATAAATGTTAATATTTAAAAAAAAAAAAAAGAGAAAGCAAATAAATGTTTAAAAAATTTTGTTTAAACAAAACATAAAATGGTTTAAAAATGAGTTAAATATCTGGAGAACCTTTAACAGTATCTATAACAAGGTAAAATCTGTTATTCCACCTCTCTTGTATGGTTCAGATTTTAGATAATTCCACTACGTACAATCTACCTAATATAGCCAGCAAATAGTTAATCCATTGCCTGACCTTCAAGATTTTTGAGCCTTTGTTAGCAAACACTTAATCTCTCATCTTGCTTTTAATAACTTCCTTTCTGATCATCAATATGGATTTTGATCTTCTCATTCTACTGCTGATTTGTTAATGGTAATAACCGATAGGTTTTATTGTACATTAGATAGATGTGAATAGGTTATGGTTATCAACATTTCTAAAGCCTTTGATAAAGTTTTGCATGCTGGCCTTCTCCATAAGATCTCTTCCTATGATTTATCAGGTAACATCTTTAAAATTCTTTCCTTACTAATTGTAGTATTAAAGTTTTCTTTGATGGACAGCTTTCTTCTTTATATCCTGTAACTGCAGGGTTTCTTCAAAGTTCTTTCCTTTTTTTAATTTACATTAACAATCTTCCAAAAATTCTCAGATCTAAAGTGGCATTATTTGCTGATGATACTTCTTGTCTTAATAAAAAGCCAACACTCTCTGATTGCTTGGAGGGCTTAATAAGGATCTCACTTCTGCTACAGCATGAGACTGTTGGTGGCTGGTGAAAGGCTGGTGTAGTAAAATATTTTTTTGTAAATATATATTTTTCTTTTTCATTTAAAACTCAACTTTTTTTTAACTACGTTATTGCAACAATCTAGATCTTCCTATATTTAAGAAATGTTATGTACTCAATGAGTCAACTACCCTTAAACTTATGGGATTAACTCTTACTCTTTTTCTTGGAAACTATATATCTAATCCCTTACAAAAATAGAATCTACTGAATGGCAAGGGCGATAAAAAGATTGCATCTTTTTATTGCGATCACCACTTTCTTAGGGGTCGTCCATAAAGTGCATACGCTTTTTTTTGACCTCCCCACTTTTCCCGACCTTTCCACCTCCCCTACCCTCCAAACCTTCACTGCATTTTGTCTTATGTTTTTTTGAGTGGCCTTTACCTCCCTAACAGTACCTACACTTTTAGCCTACCAACCCAGCATTTTATGACATTTTTTTAATTTAGTGTCACTATACTTTTATAATTGACATATTGCCCCCTATCTCATAATACGCCATTTGCTGACTCCCTCTTCCTCTCTGAGCATAAGTACTTTATGGATGATCCATTACCTAGTAGTCTATTCTCTATTTGATTAAATCTCAAATCTGTTCTTGTATGAAATACTGTTGCCATATCAGAAGCAGATCTTCGAATGATGCTCTTGATCTTTTCAATAAGGTGCAAAAACAAATTGTAAACATAGTTGGACCTGCTCTTGCAGCCAACCATTGTCACATCCTTGCAATGTTGTTTTTGTTTTTCTTTTCTATAAATACTATAATGGGCCTTACTCATTATTATTTTAGTATTCTCATGTTACTTGTCATTCAATTAAGTCTCATCCTTTTACTGTGCCTGTTCCTAAGTGTTCCAAAATTTTTTATTCGTCTAGTTTTTTTCCTCAAACATCAGATCTTTGGAATTAGTTTTTTCATCTTGTTTTCCTGATTTATATAATTTGCAACCTTTCAAGTCATCTGATAATTATTTCCTTATTTCATTTATTCTCTTGTTAGAAGTGAAAAAATTGATTAAAAAATAAAAATAAAAAATTATAATTGATATAATTTTACTCTTCTATTGAATTATTGAGGTAGTGAATTTCAATGATATAGTGAGTTTAAGTTAAATTTGTTATACAAGAATTTATTTAAACTGTTTTTTGCTACATTTGAAATGGAAGATTATATTGGGTTTTTTAAAACCCTTACTTTTTAGGATGTAAACATATTTACATGAGTTTTTGAGGTAACATTTATGAAACAAATTAAGGGTGCATTTACTTTTTCAAGTTATTCAGATAAAAAAAATTATCAGATATATAAAAACTATACTTGATAAAACTATCAAAAAAATTAAACAACAACTAAAAATTAACCTTTGGATTGACTCTTGGGAAAATCTGTGTTTGCATTTTAGAAGGGGATTGATAACTTTTTTTGTGTCGCCTCCATGCCAATGAAATTATAATCACTGATATGAAAACCGAGAAAATTAAACAGGGCACAATGGTATACCATATGCTGGTGACTTTTGGGTGAACGAGATTATCTATTTAAAAGTAATTCTAATATTAGGCAACTATTAAAAAATTAAAACGCTTTTAAAAACAATTTTCCAGTGAACTCGAAAAGTAAAACTTGTTTTCCAACAACTTTAGTGAAGATAAGAAATAAAGTTTACCATGTAGAACACAAAGCTCTGTGTCCTACATAGTAGAACACAGAGCTCTAACTTTTCAGGACAAAATTTCATATTGTATTTATGAGTAAATTACCTTTATATAAAAAATTATTATTACAAGAAGCACTAAATAAATAAAATAGATGGTTATCGTAAAATGTAACACAAGATTTTTATTCTTTACAGTTCTAATTTAAATGCACAATTCTAAAGTTAAAATTTAAACCAATTTAAATGCACAATTCTAAAGTTAAAATTTAAACCAATTTAAATGCACAATTCTAAAGTTAAAATTTAAACCAATTTAAATGCACAATTTTAAAGTTAAAATTTAAACCAATTTAAATGCACAATTCTAAAGTTAAAATTTAAACCAATTTAAATGCACAATTCTAAAGTTAAAATTTAAACCAATTTAAATGCACAATTCTAAAGTTAAAATTTAAACCAATTTAAATGCACAATTCTAAAGTTAAAATTTAAACCAATTTAAATGCACAATTCTAAAGTTAAAATTTAAACCAATTTAAATGCACAATTCTAAAGTTAAAATTTAAACCAATTTAAATGCACAATTTAAAGTTAAAATTTAAACCAATTTAAATGCACAATTCTAAAGTTAAAATTTAAACCAATTTAAATGCACAATTCTAAAGTTAAAATTTAAACCAATTTAAATGCACAATTCTAAAGTTAAAATTTAAACCAATTTAAATGCACAATTCTAAAGTTAAAATTTAAACCAATTTAAATGCACAATTCTAAAGTTAAAATTTAAACCAATTTAAATGCACAATTCTAAAGTTAAAATTTAAACCAATTTAAATGCACAATTCTAAAGTTAAAATTTAAACCAATTTAAATGCACAATTCTAAAGTTAAAATTTAAACTAATAAAGTTTGTTACTGCTCTTCAGTCTACGGAAAAAACATTTTTTTAAAAAACTTTTTTAGAATAGTGATTTTTAAAAAGCTTTTTTTATTAAATTTTGTTTTCCTTTTATTGATAAAATATATACAATAAAAAATGCCAGCCATAAAATATTTATGCATGTTACAGAAATTAAAATAAAATTTTTGAGACAATTTTTAAGATTGTAACTACAAAAGTACAATCAAAAAATTTTCAAAGTAAAACTTAACTACACAGTAAAAGTACAACCAAAAAATTTTCAAAGTAAAACTTAACTACACAGTAAAAGTACAACCAAAAAATTTTCAAAGTAAAACTTAACTACACAGTAAAAGTACAACCAAAAAATTTTCAAAGTAAAACTTAACTACACAGTAAAAGTACAACCAAAAAATTTTCAAAGTAAAACTTAACTACACAGTAAAAGTACAACCAAAAAATTTTCAAAGTAAAACTTAACTACACAGTAAAAGTACAACCAAAAAATTTTCATAGTAAAACTTAACTACACAGTAAACAAATTGGTTGAAGGTGATTAGATGTTTAAAATGGTTGAAGTTTATTAGATTATTAAAATAGATATAGTTTACTAGATTTTAACGTTGATTGAAGGTTATTAGAAGTTTAAAATGGTTGAAGTATATTAGAATATTAAAATAGTCAAAGTAAACTTCGATGTAAACTTAGATGTTTTAAATGATTTAAGTTTACTAGATGATTAAAATTAGGGGTGTTCGATTTCGATTTCTAACCAGTTTCAAAAAGTAGTTTCCTCTAATTTGGAAAGTCTTAGTAAATTAAATGTATTTATAATGGAAAATGTTCTTTTAAATATGCTTTATTGTTTGAAGGCAAAATTTCTAACTTTCTGGAAAGTGGGAATAGATTGATTTCAATTTATTTCCATTTTTGGGAAAGTGGAAAGTATTTAAAAAATATTCACTTTTCTATAGGTTTTTACATGACATTAAAAGTATAATTTCACTATTAATTAAATTTGACTTCTCTACACTTAGGGAAAAATAGTTGATTATATATAAAGCTTTTTTTCGCACTCTATAAAACTAAAGTATAAATCTTAAGTTTTTTGATGAAACGCTACTTCTTTCCTTCCTTCTAATATAGTTTTCTTAAATAAAAGGCTACTTCTTTCTTTCCTTTTAATAAAGTTTGCTTCACTAAAAGCAGATTCTACTACAACTGAAGATGTTATAGTAATACTGACGAACCGCACTAGCAAACATAGGCAAACTTGATGATTTTTTTTTTCCAAAATTGACTAAAACTTAAAATACTTGGGGCAGCTTCCTTTCTATAAAAGCTTAATTCTTCCAGTATAAAATTATCTTCTGGGTTTTTGGGGTTACTTAAGAGACAAACGAGCCTAAAGTGCCAGCCAGCTTGTCTGCTGTGGATTGTTATGTTTTGCTTTTTGCTAAATTAGGTCCGAAACTATTTTGTTAGGTATTTTGCAATAGAGAAAGCAATGTATTTTTTAACATGCTGACTCTTTTTCTACGATTTTAAATTATTCTGCACATAACCACTTTAAATTAGGTAGATCAATTTAAACTGCTTTCAACATAACTTTGTTTTGAGTGTCTGTAATATTAGTCTTGCCAACTAAATGATGGCTCAAATTGCGAAATAGGAATGCCTTTATCGCTTTTTCTTTAAAGTCACCAGATTCAGTTTCAAGATAATGAAACAAAATTCTTTTTGTAACAAATGATTTTGATAAAGTCTTGTAATTTCTTCCTGATAACATTTCTGTAACTTTAAAAAATAGTTCATACTTAAATAAAATTTAATTATCTATTTAATTTTAAAGAGTTCTCATTTAATTGCCAAACCAAAAAGAAAAACTTTAAAGGAGGTAGGGGGGGGTGGAATTCAAACTTTATATGGTCATAATTTTTGAATGCTGAAATATTATACTATGAAATTTAAAATTTATTGATCAATATATCAGGTGGAGATGAAAAAAATCCGGTCAACTTTAAATTGAGATTTTTCTCAATTTAAAGTTGGTCAGAAAACCATATACGTTTTTATTTTGTTTTTTTTTTAATTAAATGTGTTTACATCAATTAGAGTTTCAACTTAATTTTAAGGGGCTTGATGGGCTACTTTGCAAAAGACCAAATTTTTTAGCAGATTACCAAATTTTATTTACCAAATTTTTTAGCAGATTTAGCATCATTTTGCAGATTTTTTCTTTTTTTACCTTATTGGTGGCATTAATGCACTTTTTTTGGAAGTCCTTTTTATTTTTTGTTACTTCACCTGTCTTACAAAGAACTTCTTTAACTATTGCCCAAAAATCTTTAAAATTGTGCTCTTCAGGACAATCGGAGGATTCGAATCTTTAGAAACAACTTTCACATTATTTTTGCACCATTGTAGAACTTTTTTAGAATAGTGAGAAGCACCAAAATCTTGCAAAAAATGTTTTTTTTGGATTCATTGATGTAGAGATCTGTAGTCATAGTCTTCTTAGTAACAAGAGGATTGTATACCACAGCTACAAATGCTTGCTACACACTGAACTTGGATGCAAATTTTTTTCATCGAATATATTTAAATTGATTATTGACAGGTTTATCTTTGTCCTTATAATAAAATTGTTTACCAGGAAGTTGTGAAAAATTCGCCTTAAAATATGTTTCGTTGTTTTCAATTATGCACATACTTTTTATCTGCCATTATTATAACTAATTATGCACATACTTTTTAAACGCCATTGTTACAAGCAACTTCTTTGCACGCCAAATTCCTTTAATTTCACTATTTAAGCTTCTCTTAAATGGTGAAATTAAAGGAAGGTATTTTTTTTTTTTTATGAAATGCTTTAATTCCAGTATTTTTAAGTACTTTTTTGATATAAGAACTCAAAGTCTTGAGTTTTTTTGCTGTTCGGATTTCTTGCTATCGAACTGAGAATTGACTTGACCTTTTTGGATTTATGGAAAGTTTTCTTTCTTCCGCTTCCAGGTTTTTTTTCGAAGCTTTGGTTAGTCTTGAACTTATTTATAATTTCTATGACTGTAGATTTTAAGACATTTGTACGTTTAGCAATTAAGCAATATGAAGTCGATGGAATTTTTCAAAAAAAAAAATCACTTTTTTACGCACCTTAATTTGTTTTCGAAACATTTGTAAACAAATGTTTATCAATACAATTAAAGATAAGAAAGTATTGTTAAATTACAAAAAAATAAAAGAAATAAAAAGCATTTGTGATTTTAGAGAAATCTCAATTAAAAGTTGACCGGATTTTTCTGTGTCCACCCAATAAATCTTGTTGAGATTAGTACACAAAAACTTTATCAACTTGTTACTCTCACATTTTGGGCAGGGGGTGAAAGTATTATTTTATTTTGTTCCCAGGCTCCAATCATTTTAATTTTTTTTTTATGCATCCTTATTTGACAAAAGTATATGAAACATTTTGAATTTCCTCTTCGTCTAGAAGTTAGCTATCTCAAAGACGAAAAAATGCTGGTTCCGCCCCTGGCGCATTGTTAAGTCATAAGTGCTCAAATAAGTAATAATTATTTCTGTTCAATTTATTTAAGTTATTTTTTAACTTGTTGTTGTAATATTTATTTTAGTTACTTAAAATGCTATTTAAAAAATTTTATAATTAGTAATGTATATATTGCAGATAATTCTATTAAATTATAGCAGGTGGTTGTCATTATTGTTCAAAAGATTTCAAAATTAAATATTTATTGTATATTTAAATTAACATTAAAAAAGTGTCTTCCATTTATTATTTAAAAAATACAGTCACAAGCTATAAATAAAACTTATTAAAATCAACTCAGGTCTGTTGCGCATTGTTATTTATCTGTTGCGCATTGTTATTTATCTGTTGCGTATTGTTATTAATCTGTTGGGCATTGTGCAATTTATCTGTTTTAAGAGATTTATTAACTTAATTGTTATATGACTGTCTATATATAATGTTATTATAAACTTTAAAAAACTTTCTTGAAATTCTGACCCTCTAAAACTTCTTAAAACACAGGGAGAAACTTGTCTTGAATAGATTTACAATAGAGATAATATCTTTTATAATTTTAAAACTTTTTTTTTTTAATTTAAACTCGGACAAAACGTAATAAACTACAGGTGTTCAGAAATCGATAAAGTAGGTAAGAAATAAATAATTTTTTTTTTAATAACTTTCCAATTGGAAGTGATTATAAAGTTTAGGGAAATAAGGTTGAATTTAGTAAATAGTTATATTATACTTTTTAATACCATGTAAAAACCTAAAGAAAGAAATACTTACATAATTTTATCTTTCCAGAAATTGAATTTAATCTATTGCTACTTTTCAAAAAGTTGGAAATTCATTTAAATTGATTTTTTTAATGTCAAATAAATTGTATTAATGAAACAATTTATTTTTTATTACGAAAAAATGAATCATTTAAAACTTTCCACTTGGAAGGAAAGTGTAATAGAACACTCCTAATTGAAATAATTGAAGTTTATGAGATAATTAAAAAAGTTAAAGTTTATTAAATGTATATACTGGTTGAAGTTTATTAAATGTTTATAGATTATTAAAATAGTTATTAGATTATTCGTTATTAGATTAAATGGTTTATATAAGTTATAATAAAATTATTAGATTACAAATATAAACAAATAATAGAAAATCACTCACTGATATTAACATGCTTCAGATCATCATTTGGAGCTAGAAAAACAAAAAACCATGTTCAAAACAATATTGTTATCTATACAACTTTTTAACAAAAAGTTATTTTCAAAATGATTGCACAATTGCTTCATTCATTATATCTTTGCCCTAAGTTGACCAATGTAGTTTAATTTTATTCTGGTGCTTTTATTAGAATTTTAATTTATTGTGCTTATTTTTTTATACCGGTGCTATGGTAAGTGATTTATTTATTGAAAAAAAAGTTCTGTTCTTATGATTTTTGAAAAAATAGTTTTTGTTTTTATTTGTTTAAAAATATTTTCCTAAAGGTATAGGAACCATTGTTTATAATCATGAGAAAATTCAGCAGCTTGAAATAATTTAGTTTTTAGATTTTCATAAAACTTGTGAGCTTTAAAGCTTTTTAGAGATGAAAAATGTTTTTGGCTGCTGATACTCATAAAAATTTTAAAGTTTTATAAAATCTTTTTTTTTTTAAGTGTTAAATCCATGAACAAATATAGCAGGCAATGGCCTACTATATTCACAGCCATATATATTACATTTTTAAGAGTGAAATTAAGAGGCTGGTTTTGAAAGTTTTAGATACAAAATACACTATAATATATTATTTTTAAAAAAATTCTTTATTCCGAATTTACTAACTTTTAAAGAATTTATACTAAAAATGGTCAACAAATGTGCCGTACCAAAATTTATATTTGGATACTTAAGCAGCAAATACAAACAAATTGCATATTTTTATTTTCCAACAAACCAAAACTTAAATCAACTTTAGATACAATCTGTTAATCGTTCAGATTGGACTCCAACAAAACATTCTGTTTTATGTGAACTTAATTTTGAAGATAAATATATATTTAGAGGCGATAAATGCACCCTGCATTAGTTTTTAAAACCTGTTCCTTCTAAGTATTTGTGTGAACTTTTGTAAAAAAAAAAAAAATCATCTTTACCAGTTTAAAAAACTTCTGGATTTCTAAATTGATCAGTTAGAAATATTTAAGAAAAATAATATAATTACAAACTTAATTACAATTTTTTTAATTTTTTTAATTACAAACAATTATTATATTTTAATATATTAACTATAATTAATTACAAACAAACTACATAATTTGAATAAAGCAGTAGCACTACCAGGGTTTCAATTTAAACAACTTGAAAAAGGTGTTATATTTTGTAATACATAGGAACAATACATATGAACACCACTTTCATTACCAAGTTAGTTTGTTAAAGGACATAATGCAAAACTTAATATAATTAGTACGCTAGAAAATTTTCCTTCTTATATGAGAAACTACAAATTAGAAAATCATGACACTATTTTAGATGAAATTAAAGATAGAGAGATTTATCAACCACAAGGCAGGTCGCCATACTCAGCAGAGATGATTCGATATGCATTACTTTTATGATTATCTTTGTAGGCATACAAACTACTACTCAAAAAGTTTTACCACCAATATTTTTATTAAATATAGTTCAACAAGGAGGTATCGATTCTATAACGACTTTAAAACTTGTATGTGAAAAAGGAAAAATTTCTCATGATTGTATTATGATGATAGATGAAATGTATTTACAAAAAGCAGTACAAAATCAAGAAGGAGTATGTTGGTGCTGACAAAGAAGGTAACTTATACAAAGGAATTGTTGCATTCATGATAATAGGACTAAAAGAACCTATTTTTTTTATTGTTCAAGCAATTTCAGAAATCATATTTTCTGGAAATTGGCTATCACAAAAAATAGCTGACAATCTTAAAAATCTATTAGGTGCTGGGTTCACTGTGCGTGGTATAGTTACAGACAATCATTCCACTAACATTAATGCATTCTCATCGTTAGTTACAATGTTCAAGTCTGAATCAAAGTATTTTATTATTCACCCACAAAATCATGGAAAGAAGACATATTTGTTTTACGATAGTGTGCATTTAGTCATAGATAGTGTGCATCTTAGAAATAATTTATTAAATGGTAAAAAATTTATTTTTCCAGACTTTAAATACCATAATGCATATATCAATACTGATTGTCCATCAGGATATATTAGCTGTGATGATTTATTTAAGATTTAGCATAGTGATAATGATCTGAAAGGTAAACTTAGAAAAGCTCCAAAGCTTTCATATGAGACATTACATCCTGGAAATAATAAACAAAGTGTGCCACTTGTGTTAGCAATTATACATGAAACTAAAATTGCAGCTTCAAAAAACTACTATCCAAATCGAAAAGATGTTTCAAGTTTTTTAACTATTTTTAACACTTGGTGGACTATTGCTAATTCTAAACAAAGGTTTTCACCAAATATTACTGGCAATGCTATTGTATTAGGAGACACTAAAATGATTTTTTACCAAGCTCTTGCTGATTGGATCAATCAATGGTCTCTTTTGCCTGCATTCACCCTCACAATTCAAACTGCATCAGCAATTATTAATACCTTACACGCTCAAGCACTGTTTGTTGAGGAGCTCCTGAATGATGGATATGATTACATGACGACAACTTGTTTACAAAGTGATCCAATTTCTCACAATACAGGCGAATGAGTGGGGGAAGATTTCTTGTAAGTTTAAGAGAAGTTTTAAATTCAGAAAGAATCTTGTAATGTCATTAATTAAGGAGCATATAAACTTCTAGGAAGAAAATCATTCATCCTTCCTTGACAATACTTGATGAACTGTTTGAAAATCAAAGTGAAAAAATTATGAAAAGTTCCCTTAATTATAACAGTCAAGAAGTGGCAAAAACTATAGCAGGCTATGTTGCAAAAAAATTGTCAAAAGGTCTAAATGCAAAAAGTGCAAAGCATGTTTGAAAGCTGGAGACATTAGTCTTGTAAATAATTCTTATCTATCTCTCTTATCATGTAGTGCACTATTTGTTCCATCCAAACAGCTTGCAGAATTAGTTTGTAGTGTATTTGCTATTTTGTATTTAATTTAGAATGAATTTTATCTCTATCAATTCTAGTCATTAAATCATCAACATATCTTTACATAAATACGCACCAAAAAACAAATTTGTTTGTGAAAATCATGAAAGTCAAGGAACCACATTTTCAACAAAAATCCTTGTTAATCTATTTTTTAATAACTAGCGAAGGATTTGGTTTCCAATAATAACTTAAAAATTTTTAAAAAGAGGCAAAGAAAAAAGTGAAATCGAAATTGCTAATACATCAGTTGCATAGCATTTGTTTATACAGTTTAATAAAATCTATTATTTAATTTTGTTGAACTACTTCTTTTTGTTCATTAATCAATTATATTAATTATTTAATCAATTTTTTTCAAAGGGTTGAAATATGCAGATATATATAATAGATAAATATAATATACATAGATATAAATGTATATTAGTTTGAATAATTTCTGTGACAGTTCTCCAACAAATATTACACAAATGTCTTTAAATCTTTGATACCTATTTTATCTTAAAATATATATATATATATATATATACATATATATATATATATATATATATATATATATATATATATATATATATATATATATATATATATATATATATATATACATATACATACATATATATATATATATATATATATATATATATATATATATATATATATATATATATATGTATATATATATATATATATATATATATATATATATATATATAATATATTATATAAAAAACCAACTGCCACTTTTACATTGAAGAAATTAAAAAGTTAAAAATGAAGACTTGAGTTGCTTTTTAAAAATAATATATTCTGTGCAGCCATTTTTTCAGTAAAAATCGGCCTCCTAATTTTTAACATCAACTTTTTTAAATTATTGCAATAATATTAATTACCGCAAAACAAGTTAAATGTTATTTAACTTCTTTTTTATTAATTTCTATAAAAGAATATTCTATAAAAGAATGTTTATTTTTTTTATTTTTTTATATTAAAAAATTAAATTTAAAATTGCATTTTTAAAAATGTGTGATATAACAAGTTTTAATTTAATGTTTTTAAATGCAAAACGTAACTTTTTTGATGGATGACATAAGTTATCGAAACTTCAACCTTTCATGCAAATGAAAATAAAAAAATTACTTTATGCAACTTCATCTATGATACCAAATATGTTTTCAAAAATCTCATGTTTTACAACTAATCTTGCTAGTAGGCGTACATTTATGTTGACGTTTTATTGCAATGACATAACCTTTATGTGTTAAGTCTCAAACTATTTTTAAACAAATTTTGTCCAAACAACTGTTTCGGCAAGGCAATTTTTGAAGTATAAAGTAAACAAAGTTACGTGGAATTTTTTTACTTTATATTAACAAACCAATACAACATAAGTTGCTAAATCCACTTTTATCTAGTGCTTATATATTTTTATTAATAATACTCTATTTGTATTACATTCACTACTAAGCTAATTTTATTTTAATAACTATGTATTCCACTGAGAGGGAAATTTTATAACAACACATCGATGGGAAAACGGTTGGGAGGATAGGTGTAACTTCCCTTTTGTTAAACAATTAATTAAGTAGATAAAATCACTAACAATGTTATTTCCATTTTAATAGCAATTTATTTAGTTTTATGAGCTTTCTTTTGCCAATCAATTTTGATATGCCTACAAATGAAGAGTTTGATAAAATGTGTTTAAAGTTAACACGCCCCAAAAAAAAAAAAAATTTTGAATCTATAAAAAACAAATTTATTAAAAGGCAAGCTCTAAATGCCCAAGCTCTAAGTCACAAGCTCCAACCAAAAAAAAAGTCATCAGCAGATGCAGATGACTTTTTTACTTTAAATAGGAGGCAGGAGCTACTGAGTCAAATTGACCAATTAACTGAAAATAAAACAAATGTGGAGCAATTAGAGAAATGCAGGTATTTAAGTTGGAAGTTGATATTACAGATTTAAATTCTAAACTCTTAACAAACATTGTAACTCAGTTCTCAATTAGAGACAGTGAGTATTAAGTTAAAACAGGAGTTTCTTTTTTTTTAAAGAAAAA